AATCATCCTCTTTAACCGGCTGTACTTGGGATCAGCTATCGGTGTGTTGTCACTACAAAATTTGGTGGTCGTCCCTGTCCCTGCAAATTTTCCAGGTATAATTCTTTATAATTGTACTTGTTAACGTTCAGAAACGCTCATGGTATATTTGTCGTTTTCCGCATCCACATGCATGTGTTTCGTATTTCCCACACATTTTAGTCTTAATAAGTGCAGGTTTTTAAAGTCACAACTGTATAAGTTGTACTTTTTGTCGAGCTTCATTATATTTTGTTTGTTCGTTTGAATTCAAACGCGCATCCGTATTAATACGGGTTCAAATGCACCTTCGCAATCGAAGAGCTGCAAGCTCCTTAACGCCCTCGGGCAGTCAATATCGAAGCGTTACTTGCTCAACCTAAAGAACGGGTTCCTATTGTTAATCTCCCAATCAATGCTCATCCGCAAGACATGCAGCCTCAGGTTTGTGGTTATATTTCTCAATTTCGCGTGCATCTGCCTTCTGCATTCTAGTGGCGAGTTTTCCCTTTGGGTATAGTTGTTACGTTGCTCGAGTTGCACGGACAGTATTTTGTTTTCACTCGATTATTTGTTTTTGAAATGTCACTGTGTTTACCCGGTGTGATTTCCCGAGTGAAATCCGGCCTTTTTCTCTTACTAGGCCCTCGTCTACTTATGTCTGCTCGGGGATTTATATTCAACTTCTGCTATGTTCGGTCTGGCGAGGTGAGCATTGTTAGCACGCCTTAAAGCCGGTTTTCCACTAGCAAAATTTTTCGCGCGAAGCGTCCTTAATTTTTCCTTTGTCGGCATCCATTTTGCAACGTCTAGCTGACGTAATAAGTATACCGACAAAGGAAAAAGGTCGCTTCGCGCGAGATAATTCCCTAGTGGAAAACCGGCTTAAAGGCGGTTTTCCAGTCCTCGCATCCAATTAAAATTAACTCTTAAGCATTGTGATTGAATGAAAGTGCTCATGCATACACTTGCAGCGAGCTGCGAGGAGCTTCGATCGTGCGAGGACTGGAATTGCGCCATTACACATGTCTACGACGTGTTATTTTTTTGAAATGCGTGCGCGCATATTTTCTCTTGTGTTTGACTAAATTTTTAGCTGGGATGATTTTACATGTCCTCTGCTTTTAGCTTTGGGATTTGCGACCTTTTGTTAGGACCTTTTGTTTGGATTCCCTTTTTTTACTAGCCATTGCCCCTTTTTCAATTTAGCTTCGCTAATTTACTGCCCATTGTGGCTTGTTTTATTATTAGTGTTGTATTCTAATTTATTCCGTTTTGCATAATCATTCGAGCTCCACGGTGTGTTTTACTGGTTTGTTTTCTTCAAACATCACCGTGTTTACACGGTGAATTCCCGAGTGAAATACTCCTTGCTTCAGACTAGCACTTGTGCCGTAGTTGCTGTCATATTTTGTCTATTTTCGGCGATGTAATTCGTCTCCCACATGTATATGTAAGGCTGGGGAGGTGAGTATTTTTATAGCAATAAGCCTTCCACAATCATGTTTACGACGTGTTCTTGTTTTCAGATGCGTAAACGTATTTTTCTTGAGTTTGCCGATCTTTATTTTGTGTTAGGCGGTTTTACAGTACAGTTCTTATTTTGCGCCGTATAATTAAGTTATACGCCCGTATTTGCTGCGGAGCGAGTGAGCCTGAAGCGAGCGAGCGTAGCAGCAGCCTAATATGTTCAGAGAGGGGGTTTTGAACTAAATTTTATTTAGCGCATGGAATTGTGGTCGTGCGCGCTTTCTATGCGCAGAACACAAATTTTAAACTCGCTCGAGTCTTCGAATTTTTATCGAATTTCTAAAGCTTTTTCAAGTCTAATGTTACACTTACATTTGTTTCGGACTTTGATCACTGTCAGTTCTATATTTTTATAAAGTTTTGGTTTCTTAGTGTGATAAATCTGTGTTTATAGTCTATATGATGTGGTAAATGCGCCAAGCAGTAAACAGACTTGATATGAAATCTGCTCTTAATTCACCTGTATGTCAATAAGACGCACATGTTTAATATCTGTCACCTCTGACTGCCTTCACAGCTCACTAGTCACTGCGAGTAATCACTGTGCTTGATATAATTTGTGCTGTTCACTGTAGTTCTATTTGCTTTTAATGCCGCAGCAATCCCTACCTTGCAGGTACCCTAGTCTAAAAGCTTATACTCACACATGGATCCGTGATTCGTTTACTCTATACACAGCCCGACACAGCGATGGTAAATATAAACTAAAAAATTTTAACCCTCTTACTGATATTATACGCAAGGTTTTTACCCTGTTTGGCGGTTGAATTTAATGGCAATGAATGTGCAAAACGTATACCAAAACAAGTTGATTGAGATTCTTTCCAGAAATCCGTTTACACTGGAGTTTTCTCCGGATTCAAATGTTTCCGGATACGAAGTTTCCACAAATTTTTCCGGATTCAAAGTTTCTCGACCGACGGGCGACGGCATGCACGAAAACGAGAAGATTGCGTGTGTGTAAACGGCAACGTGAATTCGGTTTTAAACGTTCCAGTTTCGTGATGAATCGGAAGACTTCCACTCTAGTATAAACGGGGTCTCAATGAGTGGAGGTTCAATCGTATGAGCTTCTCCCGAGTGTTAATGCTGTTTTTGAATAGCCGGAGGGCTCGTGTCATACCTTACTCAGTAACTATTCACCCGCCAGCTGTTCAAAAGAAGCATTAACATTCAAGAGAAGCCAGGGACATTTTTAACATATATAGACTGGGGGAATATGTCCCCCAGCCTTCTTAGTGGCCCCTCCAGTAGGCAATATTCCCCACTCTCCCTTCCTGTGCAAGGTCCCTAAGAAATACCTACAGTAGATGGTCAACCAGCAATTATATATCATTGTGAGAAAATGATATTAAGTTGCTAACATTTCTGAATTTGTCCATCATCTGTCGGCCTCTAGCTATAAGTCAACCGAGTCAGTTGACTCGGTAAGTAAGAATTTGCATGGGGATTGAAATTTAAACATTACGAGAAACCTAAACCATGGCTGAAATAATTTGCTCGTGGAAAAGCCATGCAGTGGCATTTTAGGACGAAATTCTAATCTAGTTTTTCCAAGCAAAGATACTCCAAAGAGAGCACGCTATATCTTGCTCTTCAGTAACATTGAGAAGACGAATGCGTCGATGCGTACTGTAGAATTTGAAGTGGGGGAATGATAATACTATACCACGCACATTTTCATTACCGCATCATCACATGATGTTGCTTTATTGAGACTGGATTACATTTGGGAAACTGTAAAACTGCAGTAATTGTAACATTGTTTATAAGGTCAATTTCTTGTTGGAACAAAATGCTGGCAATAGATTATCTGAGCTTACAGAAATCCAAAAGTTCCTCAGGGGATGCCTCCGACTTCTCTAGACGGCTCACACCTTCGGTGCTCAACTCGATTGCCCCAGAATCCTAGTTACAGGCTTGATCTGCTGCCATATGACGTATACTTATTAGCAAATTTACGCATATACATGTTGGATTCTGCAGGTCCCCGCGAAATATGCCCCCCGCCCCCGAGTTACACATCCTTAAAAGAGACCTTAAGAGAAGCTCAGATTAAACCTCCACTCATTGAGTGTGAGCATGAGTTTGCTTTCAGAATACGGGCGATAGTCTCATTGTCATAGGTATTAGTGAATTTTTATTCCTAGATCCTGTCTCTGCACATCAATATCATTATAGCATTTGCAACTGGATTTTTGTCCATGGAGTGACACTTTTCTTCTAAATACTATCTGCTAAATACTGAGGCGATTTCACGATACTATTGTTACTTGCACGCGTTGAAGAAATGTGTCGTTGCTCTTGATGAGGCAACGTGGTATCATCGTTATTCGCCCTGAAGCGTTTAATTGTTTTTGTGAGGCAGCTCAGTATTATTATTACTTGCATTCCCGTGTATAGTTGCTTGTGGTGAGACAAATTACTATCTTTGTTATTTGCGTTGCAACGTATAGTTGCTTTTACTGAGGCAACACAGTATTATTTTCACTCGCACCAGCCCTATTCTAAGGAAAATTCAATACTGCACACTTCAGGGCAGGTGTCATCAATGACGTCACCCTGTGACGTCATCTTTGATTTGTTTTGTTTTTATATAGAACATAATGATAACATATAGGATGTCCCCCAAACGTAAACCCTTTCCAATCATGCCATAACCTACTGTAGTTATTCGCTGATGCGACACAAATGACAATCTCGTTCTCAGGCTCTTCCCTCTTTGTGGAGGAAAGAGGTACGCCGGTGTCACAGGAAATTTCTCCCCCCTCTCCCGAAAATTTGCCCCCCGGCCAAATTTCCTAAGAAATTTGGCCCCCCGGGTCATATTTCCTTGGAAATCGGGTCCCTCCGCTTCGAAAATTTCCCCCCCCCCCCATAAAAATTATAGTTTGTTTTATCTTTAGGCTCGGAAATCGTAAAAATTCTACTAAAACAAATTTCTAGAAATTTTTCTCAACATTTATAGTCAGTTTGCGTGATTTTTTGTGTCAGAATTTTCCATTGAATTGCAGCACTGACAAGAATTAGGCAAGAGCTAAAGTTTAGCGTGCTTTTCGAGTTTGGTTTCAGGACAGCTTTGTAGAAGACAACGGTAAATACTGGCTATATCATTAAGATATGGAAACGAAACGTCATTCAAACATTTGTGCTTTTGTGTGTGCGGAACGTTTCTGTGAGCCATGAAGCATGCAGTCTACTTTCGTTTTTACGGAATGTTTCTGTAATGAATCCCAACCATATGAGCGATTATATATACTGTGTATAGGTAAGTAAAACGCATACGAAAAGTTCTTTTACGAAGTAACCATGCACTCGTTTGATTCCGTTTTTCGAACAAACGTTTTCACTTAAAAGTGATGGAAAGGGACCAACGAAGTGAATAGCAATTTCGTTCCATGGTGCTTTTGGTAGTGGGGTTATTTCCAATGGTTCTGGTTTTGGCATGGTACCTTGTGTTGCAGCTTGGCACGGAATACAGTTTTTTATTCTCTCTTGAACCATTCTGTCGATCGACGGGAACCAAACTTTCTCGCGTAGTAGTTAGTCGCTTGGTCTTTACTATTCCCTGATGACCTGCCCGAGCCAACTCAATAGGTTGTTGCTGGAGTGATTGTGGAAGAACCAAACGTGTTCCTCGTAGGAGCATACCGTCATATTCGGATAGTTCGTCTTTTACATTTGTGTATGGTTGAATTTCTGGATCAGACCAAATACTTGTTTTAATTGCTTGCGAAAGTTTTTGGAGGGTGGAATCGCTCTCCGTTTCTTTCTTCACTTCTGACATCGTCCTAGCTTTCGGAATTACGTTGTTGCAAAGATAGCTGACATAGTTTTCAGCGATATTATCCGGGAATGGAGTGGCTTTATCTGGATGACGGCTTATGAAGTCGGCAGGATTAGCATCGTCTTTTCCTTGTCTGTATATGATCTCGTAGTGGTAAAGCATTAATCTCAGCTTCCACCGGTCGATTCTAGGAGAGGTAGGCCTGTGACTCTTGAATATTCCGAGTTGAGGTTTATGATCAGTTATTAGTGTGAACTTCGCACCGTATAGATAGAGATGATAATGCTAAGTTGCCCATGCATGGCCAGACGACTGCAAGCATCTCTCGTTCAGTCTGGAAGTAACGCGATTCGACATCGGACAGCGAGCGACTTCCGTAACTGATGACTTTCCCATCTTGCATTAGAATAGCTCCTACACCCATGGGGCTTGCATCGACCAGTACTTCGGTGGGCTTTGTTGGGTCGAAGTAGGACATAACTCGATCACTGGTTAGCTCATCCTGTAGCTTTCGAAAGGCAGTTTCCTCTTCTTTGTGCCATTTCCACACAGAATTCTGATGGGTCAGTGCACGTAGATGGGCAGTGATGGCAGCGTAGTTAGGAATGAAACGTGAAACATATTGAGCCATACCAAGAAGGGACTTCACTTCACTTGGACTTTCTGGAGGTTGCATGGTTTTGATAGCATCTTTCTGAGGAGCAGCTTTGATCCCTTTTGCGCTGAAGAAATGTCCGTAGAAGATCACTTCTGACTTACGGAAGGTGCATTTAGTTGGGTTGAGGCGGCCGTTGCATTCTCGTAGACGGGTTAAAACACTGTTTAGGTTTTCGTCATGCTCTCTGACGTCACGACCATAAACAATGATGTCATCGGAAATGTTTATACATCCCGGCAGTCCGGTAAGAAGTTCAGCGATTGAATTTTGGAATATTTCCGATGCGGCGTTTATGCCAAACATGAGTCTCTTATATCGTCGAAGACCGACATGGGTAAAAAATGTTGTCACATGATGGCTTTCCGGGTGAAGTTCGAGTTGGTGGTAGCCAGACGTGAGATCTAGGGTACTGAATACAGTTGCCCCATTAAGATCAGCAATGAGTTCGTCAAGGGTTGGCATAAGGTGCTTTTCTCTTTTCACGGCTTTATTTGCTTCCCGCATGTCAACACAGAGACGGATTTCTCCGGATTTCTTTGGAACTACGACAATTGGACTCACCCAATGGGTGGGGCCCTCGACTGTTTCGATAATATCTAGATCTTCCAGGCGTTTAAGTTCTCCCCCAACGTCTTGACGAATATGAAATGGGATAGGGCGGTGAGACTGTTCCTTAGGTTCAATCTCGGGATCAATATGCAACTTGATTGTCTTGTCCTTTATCTTGCCAATTCCATCGAACAAGTCTGGAAAATTTTTCTCGGGAGGTGTGTTGGGGGTATCTAAAACAGAGTTTACCGTTTATCTTTAGGATTCCTAAACTTTCGGCAGTGTTGCAGCTCAAGAGATTACCATTTTGTCCCTTTGTGACATAGAAGGTTGCGTTGACGGTGGTGGACTGGAAACAAATTTCTGTTGTAGTCATGCCCAGGAGTGGCAGTTCCATATTTGAGCCATATGTGAATATCTTGGATCGGGGTGTAGTAAGCACTGCGTTTTTGTTGCGCTTTCGAATCTTTTCGTAAGTGGATTCGTCGATAACATTCACAGAGGCACCCGAGTCGATGATGGGTTGGACTGCTTCGTTAGCTATGTAAACTTCACAGAGTGGTGACGTATTGTGTTGATGGTTGTTTTGGACGGTGAATATATATTGGGGTTCCTCTAATGGGGTTTCCGATACTTGGTGGATTTGGCGTCGTTTGGGTTTTGATCTGCAAACCTTGGCAAAATGACCGCTTTTCCCACATGCTCGACATTCTTTACCTTTTGCAGGACAGTCACCGTTATGTGGAAAAATTACACCACAATTGCGACATTGTTGAGTAGGTATTTGTTGATTTCCCGGGGCTATTTGTCGATTTCTGCTGGGAAATTGTCGATTTCCGGGGGGTGTTTGTTGATTTCCAGCGTTCCTAAAGTATCTGGACTTCGATTGTTGATATTTTCCGTGATTTTTTCAGTTTCTCGTGTCTCTTTGGCTTTGCTCGTGTTTGATGGAATTTACGGGTGACACGCCTTTTTCTACGGCTTCGGCTTGTGCTTCGCTTCGCTCTTGTGCTCTTCCCGCAGCTAGTAGATCTTTGAGAGTTGGATTATCACGCAAAACTTGTCGTCTTAAACGTTGTGACAAACACCCAATAATTACTTGTTATTTTACTTCTTTATCCACGTCGGTAAAATTGCAGGTTTGGGCAAGTTGTCTCAGCCGGGTATTATATGCATCAATATTTTCTCCGTGTTGTTGTTTTGCTTGGCGAAAATTGTACTCTTCGAATGTTGAGTTAACTTGAGGCATAAAGTATGCATTCAGAGCGTCTACGGCTTCTTTATAGTCCTTGTCTTCGCCGGTATCAGATCTTTTATCGAAGATTTCGCCTACGGCCGGGCGAGCATAATGTAATAAAAGGGCGCGTTTTTGTTTTGCTTCTGTGATGTTCGTCGCTATAAGAAGTCGTTCGAACCTGGTTAGCCATTTCTTCCATCGTGGGCTAACGTTTCCATCGACATGGACGTCAAAAGGTGGGAATTAGTTAAGCAAGGAAAGATTGGGGGTTGCCATAAATGTTTTAAGTTCAAGCGCTTCGTTGAACAATAGCTGTTCTTTTGACTATCTTGGCGCGTTTTTTTTTGTTTGTTTTGTTCGCACTTTGGAACTTCGTTCGGCCGTTTCTGTTGCTAAAAACTCGGTCTTTTAGCAAAATAATTTGATTACGTGTATGTTTATTATTCTCGTCGCCAGAATGTAGTGTATCGAGGTAAAAATCGGATAAACACAAGAATATAGCCGCCTGGTTTGGTGTGTTGTATAACTTGTATATGATGAGAATAGAAACATTATAAAATTACAAAGCGGAAGTTAGTAAACATTAGTGTACAGTATAATATTAACTTATATAATTGGGCTGGATACTACAGCAGCGTAAAGTTACTTTTGGCGACTGAGACAACTATATTATTTACTTGCACGTTGAAACAAATGGTTGCTTTTGGTGAGGGGCAGATTATGGACCGCTCATTATTTATTGTACAGGGGGATTGAGGAAAAACTGGGGGGGGTGGCTTTAAATTTTTTAAAACCTGAAAGGCGGGCTTTAAAAAAATACAGAATGATGAAAGAAGGGATCGGCTTTGAAAAGATTTACCAGTTTGAAAAAAACCCAGTAGTTTTAAAAGTGTATCACAAAACAACTTAACAACAAATAACAATGTTTATAGAGCATTAATATTCATATATGGAAGCCAAATAAAAAGTCTCTTATGTTAATGTAAATAGACAATTCCCATTATGGACTAAATTTAGAACTAGGCAAAGAGATGCAAGTCAAGGCCGGATTTTGGTGAAAATAGTGGAGGAAGTGGAAAAAAGTTTTAGGAGAGGTGCAGCGGTTTATCTCACAACCCCAAAATGTCAACGAGATGAGGTATCCATGTAGTTGTACCAGTTTATTAATGAATTTTGACTGTCTGACTCCAATCTTGCCCTTCATTAGAATTACTACAAAGTTTCTTTCGAAACATTGCATTAAAATGGTACCTGACACAGAGATGAATGGCTGTCGCTGTTTCAATTTTACAGAGAAAACTTTCTTACGTCACGAAGTGTAGATCCTAAGCAACCATCACATTTTCACTTTGTACCATCATTGAAACTTTCCCAAGGGGAGGTGCATGACCCCTCAGAAGAGGTGCAAAACGATCTCAGGGAAGGTGCGCACCTCTCCACACCTCACCTCAAAATCCGGCCTTGATGCAAATAAATCACCACAGCTAGAATAAGCATACTAAATTAAGTAAATTATTGCAAAGTTTGGTTGCGAAATGTTATAAAATACGGAAAATATAACCTTGCAAAGTTTGCAAGTTTTGTATACATTTGTATTGCATGAAAATTGCAATACAAAGGTATACAAAATTTGCAAACTTTGGAAAGCTATATATTTTCTACATTTTATACAACATTTCGCAACCAAACTTTGCAATTTTACTAATTTTAGAATTCTCTTCCCGGGAATATACTTTTTTTGCTAAACTAAAAAAATAGTCTATAATAAGAATTGTCTATTGGTCCCCATTATCTATTTTTGTTTCTCTAAATAAAGAGCTGGATTATACGTTTCTCTAAATAAAGATAGAGAGTTAGAGGGGTGGGGGGAACCAAAATTTATGTTTATGTTTTGCCAAGTTGTGGGGCTTTGAAAATTTTACTTGTCTTAAGAGGGGGGCAACGAAAAAATATTTTAACTGTAGAGGTTCTCCTCAGTCTCCCGCTGTACAATAAATAATGAGCAGTCCCTTAGTACCTTTGTTACTTGAACGTTGCGGCGTATAAAGTTGCTTTTGTCACCAAAATAACCATATACGCCGCAACCTGCAAGCAACAAAATATTATTCTTACTTCTAGGTTAAAGCATGACAGTGGTTACTTTTGGTGAGACAACTCGGTATTATTGTTATTGTGTTGAAGTGCAAAGATGCTTTGGGTGAGGCCGTATTTTTTGTTCCTTGCGTTCAAATGTATATAGTTGCTTTTGGTGAGGTACTCAGTCTTAATTAATATATTGGTACTTGCACGTTTGCATGTATATTTGCTTTAGGTGAGGCTACTCAGTCTTTATTGTTGTTTGCACGTTGAGACGTACTACAGTTACTTTTGGTGAGACAACTCAGCATTATTGTTATATACGTAAAAGCGTACATATAGCTGCTTTTGGTGAGACAGCGCCGTATATTTGAACTAAGCGTTCAAATGTATAGTTGCTTTTCGTGAGGCAATCAGTCTTAATTAATATTTGTACTTGTACATTGAAGGTAGTTGCTTTTGGTGAGTAATTTGGTATTATTGTTATTTGCTCGTTTACATGTATAGTTGTTTTTTGTACAACTCAGTCTTGATATTTGCTGTGTTGGTGTAATGTACTCAGGTGAATAAGATGCTTGTGATGCTACTCTGAGTGTATACCTACACCGGACAGGCTTGAAAAATATGCCTGGCCACGGTGGGAATCAAATCTACGACCTTTGGAATACTAGCCCAATTCTCTGCCAACTGAGCTACGCGGTCAGGTCGGTTCGAGTATGTAATATTTCGGAACTGAGTCTAGTTCCTTCGATATCAGTGTAATCCAATAATCATGATATTTGCTGTGTTGGTGTAATGTACTCAGGTGAATAAGATGCCTGTGATATTACTCTGAGTGTGTATCCACACCGGGCAGGCTTGAAAAATATGCCTGGCCACGGTGGGAGTCGAACCATGGGCTAGTATTCCAAAGGTCGTAGGTTCGATTCCCACCGTGGCCAGGCATACTTTTCAAGCCTGCCCGGTGTGAATATACATTCAGAGTAACATCGCAGGCAACTCAGTCTTGTTGTTATTTGTGCGTTGCGGCATATAGTTGCTTTTGGTGAGGCAAGTTAGTATTTCTGTGTTACATACACGTTTGTGTGTATAGCTGTTTTTGGAGAGGCAACCTCTGACGTATTGGAACTTGCATGTTGCAGCTCATGGTCGCTTTTTCATTTATGAGGCGAATTAGCATTCTTGTTACTAGCACGTTATGCAGTATGTATAGTTGTTTTAGTGAGGCAACTCAGTCTTATTAGTACTTATACATTGCAGCGTATGGTTGCTTTTGTGAAGCAAGTTAGTATTATTGTTACTTGCATGTTATGTGTATATAGTTGCTTTTCGTGAGGCGTTGGACTCAGTCTTATTGGTACTTGGGCGTTGCAGCTAGCGTATGGTTGCTTTTGGTGAGGTAATTCAGTGCGCAAAGTGCGCAAAGTCGTGCATGGTTTAATAGTCACTTTCGGTAAAACGTAAATAAATTTACAGGTTTGACGTTTTTGTGATCATGACCTTTTAACTTCTCATAATTCTCCAGGGGAAGGGTATTTCTGATTATTGGAGAGAGAGGAATGATTTTCGTTTTTGAAGTCGGATCAACATCAAGTATTGGTAATATTCTCTGCCTATGATGCTGTTTAAGAAGCCGGCGTCCGGCAGGGCTGAAAATGATTTATCCGCAATCTTAATATTCTTTCAGTTAAAGATATTGTGCGGGGGAAACGGGCAGTGAGAATATATTACGAATATATTATTAGACTGCGGCAAAGCTAACTCCGGAAGTGTCGCAGCCGAGGGGAGGTAGGTGGCCCCCAAAATATTTAAATGCCGTTCGTCCCTTCGGTGGCAAAAGCTCAAAATACCAATTTTATGCTACTTTAATACTGTCTGACAATTACTCAAGTTATATGGTATTGTGAGAGAAAGCTCCCACTGAGAATATATTACAATTCAGATCACCTCCCTCTGTAAATATATACATGGTTAAGGCGGTGTCCCAGGAAATTACCCCCATGGGGCAATATTTCCTATGATATTTCCCATAGTATACTTATCTTATTACGTATGTCATACGCTCGGAAATCGTGAAGCTTCTT